GGGGGAAAAGGGAAGGGGGGAAGGGGGAAAGGGGGAAAGGGTAGAGGCCGACGAGAAGGGACGGACGGAGGGGACCGGTCGCGCAGAGCTTTAGTTCTAGGCGGAGTCACATGTCATAGGGCGGGGGGGCGGTCCTCAGAGCCCTGTGCACCTAGCAAAGTCTTTGACTAGGTTTTCTAAAGATGGGCTGGTGTTGTGAGGGTGGTAGACTTACACACACACACACACACACACACACACACACACACATTACCTAATCACACTCATACACACTTTCACACCCACACATGTGAATGCACATCCATTTCCACCCAGCTGGCACACTCACAAGCACTCTCACACTTGTATACACACACACTCACACACATTCATACACTTAATCACATGCTAGCACACACCCGTTTTTCACACGACTCTCACAGGTACTCACATACATGTCTTACATATATTCAGTCACACACACTCACATTTCTACCTATTCATACACTCACACACCCTCATACATTTGCACACCTGAGGGCCTCCCCGGAGAAGAGTAGGTGGAGTCAGGGGACAGTCTGCCAGCTCTGATCCCTCCTGCTGTGTTCCAGGGATAATCCCAGCTCTCAGGCATCTGTGACCCGCTGCCTCCCACCCACTTCCATAAAGGATTTGAGATGATTTGGAAGATTAAATCCCAAATAAAACAGGATAATGAAAAAGAAAAATAGGCAGGCTGAAGCAATAAAGCATAACCCTTGCTTCTCCAGACTCGGGGTCGTCTAACCTTGTAGGGACCCAGTGATCTGTGATTTCAAAGCTCTAGCAGTCCAGCCCTGCCTGTTTCTAACCATCCCTCTGCACTTGCTCTTGCAGGCTCCTCTCTGCCCCCAGCTTGCCTCTCAGAGACTGTGGAAGGGTTTACTCCCTGCTAGCATGGCCAACTCTGCCTGCGGTGGCTGGGTGAGCCCCCCTTGCCACTCCCCAAAGGTGGCTGGGCCAAAGGCTATTAGAATGACTACCTGTCGAATAGTGTTTCCCATCCACCTTCAGTCATCCTCCTGAACTGAAACCTCGGCTTTGGCCTTTTTCCCCCTCAAGGTGAGTTCCCAGCCACCCAGGGCCCCCCAGCACTGAAGCAGAGTTCCTCTCCTCATTGTCCTAGAGTCTCAGTCCTCAGCCTCCACTCATCTGACCGTTAGCCCCAACTCTTCCCTCCACCAGGTCTCAGTAATGCCTTCATTCAAACAAGACACCCGGTGACACATCCTGAGATTCCAAAGTTGCTGGAATGGAGTGGACGTTTCAGTCAGCTATTACTGCATAACAAGCCAACTCAAAACTTAATGGCTTAAAACAGCAATTTATTTCTAATAATCCTGTGGTTTGGCTGGATTCATCTGGGTGGTTCTGCTCTACACAGTGTTGGCTAGGACCACTCAGGCTGCCGCATTCTGCTATATCCAGCTGGACTGCCTTCAGGCATGACTGGATCCAGAGGCTCAAGTAATGACATCAGGAATATACGACACTCCCCATCCTCTGCCCTGCTTGGCTGGGGCTAGAATGTCCAGGATGGCTTCCGTCCCATGTTTAGTGCCTCCACTGTGGTGACTAGGACACCAGGGGCTGGCTAGACCTCCTCTCTCACATGGTTTCTCCAGGAAAATAGCCAGACTTCTTTATACAACAGCTCAGAGCCTAAGAGACAAAAGCAAAAGCTGCCAGACCTCTTAAGACCTAAGACTGGAACTAGCACAGCATCAGTGCAACCAAGTTCTATCAGTCAAAGAAAATCATGAAACAAACCGAGATTCATGGTTCAAGGGGAGAAAAATGGATTTCACCACCCAGTGGGAAGAGGCGCACAGGTGTGCGGGGATGAGAGAAATCTGTGGCAAGCACTTCTGCAGACTCTCCGCCACAGCGGGCATACTCACTCAGCTCCCAGCATGTCTGCTATGAGAGAAGCCTAGCAGCAGGTATGTCAGGCAACTGCGATAACTTAATGTTGTTAATCACAAAATTCTTATCTCCATTTCCAGGCAGAATTGCATTTTGGTTGGCACATTATTGGGGATTATTTCATTTGTAAGTGATGGGAACCTAGCTCAAACTGGCTTAAGAAAGAAAAAAAAGAGACAGAGGATATATTGACTCATATACTGGGAAATTTAGGGAAATACTGGGAAATTCAGGGATGGACTGGGTTCAGAGTCTCAGTTCATGTCATCAGGAATGTATTACACTTTCCATTCCCTGCTCTGTTGTCCTCTGCGTTGGCCTCATTCCCACACTCTCAAGCACGCTCTTTCTGCAGGGTGCAAAAATGACCACCAATAACTTCAGATTTGCATCTTATCAACTTAACACTCACAAGAAGATATGCTTCTCCTCAGTAATTTCAGTGAACATCACAGGCGTGTCCTATGATGGCCCAGAGGAGAACGTGACCTAATCTGGGACCCAGTCACTGTGACCCCAATTAGCCAGGCCTGCATATTGTGCCCACCCCCTGGAAGAGAAGAAAAGGTGGAGTCAGCCCCACCAGAACTACATGGACTGAAAGCTGGTGTGGGGGTGGGGGGCCTCCAAAGAAAAGGAGGTGATTTAACCAAAAGGAGGAAGAGGAGTCATAATGCTAAGGCAGCAAACACAACAGAAGGCCACTGCGTTATCTGATGTGTTAACAGAGAAAGAAAATCATGTGAACTCAGCTGGAGATAAGCATTTTCCTGATTCTGAATTCCAGAAAGGATCCCTTCGCACAAACAGGTAAATCCAGGGCATTTCCTGACATAGTGCACCGCAGCTTCCCTCCATTTTGGGATAGATATGGAAACATCCTTCAAGTGCTCATTTAGTAGGTTGCCCACCTGTGAAAGCTGAGAACAGAACATTTCATTGCCCCAAGGAAAGGCAATTCTGTAGGCTGCAGAGGTCATGGCTTCCCTGAGAGGCTTCCAAATATCAGGGATGGTGCTCAGTCAGCATGGAGAACAGAGAGGCAGTCTCCTCTCTAATATAGCATTTCTGTGAGCCTTCCCTGCCTTCCCTTAGCAGTCTCATCCTGTTCCACTCAGATATCCACTCTGGGTCAAAAGCAAGGGTTCAGACCTTGGGTAGAGGGTGATAGAGGGTCAAGAATCACAAACTCATGGACTTTTAGAGCTGAAGGAGATAGGAAGCACCATCCTGATTACTCCTTAACATTAATTCTCTCCTTCCACAGGTGGACTTATTAGGGGGAACCATGACTACCCAGTATAAAGACTACGTTTCCCATCCTCCTTTGCCACTAGACATGGCCAAGTGACTAAGTTCTGGCCAGTGAGATATGGCTTCTGAGAGTCTTCCTCTGCCCTTTCCATCTTTGTCCCTTCACCTTTCTGATTCTGTTTCTACTTCCATCTTGCTTCCTGGAATGTGGGAATGACGGCCACCATTTTGTACCAATGTAGATGAGGGCCATACCATGGGAAGGTGGGTGTGAACCAGAGGGTTAAGCAGAGTAGAACCACCACACCAGCCTTAGACCCATCTTTATACTTTCATGGGAGAGAGAAATAAGTGTCCATATTGTGTAAGCCACAGTTTTGAACTTGTGTTTCCTGTAGTCAGATCTGAACCTAATTGATGACATTATCTCTTCCAACTTTCCCATATCCTTCACCACCACCCCCCGCCATACCATCTCCCATCCATTGCTTAAAGGATATTTGTACAGCTCACACAATTACTACCTGTCAAGATCATTTCATCTTTGGAATTGAATTGTTAGGAATGTGTTAGAAACTTCTTCCCCATCTTCTTTCATTCAGTCTGCATACAGCCAAGTTCTCTCCCTTAGGACGGTCAACCAGAGTTCTGCTGACAGAGCTCAGGGCACCCAGGGCTTCCCTTACTGGCTCTCTCCCTTCCTTGCAAGGCCTGCCTTCTTCCAGTGCATCCCTTGTGCCATTTCCCAGAGCCCCATGGGACAAGAGACTTAATGTCCACAGCTCCTTGGCACATGGGTGAGGATTTGCAAGGATCTTTTGGATCTGTGGTGCAATGTATTATATACCAATGCAGCTTGAGACACTTGAAATACTTGTTAAGAATGCTTCACATTTGCCTAGCAGCTTACATACTTTCTCTCACACTCTTATTTTATTACTATTATTTGTAATAATAATAATAATAATGTCCTCTTTACAGAAATTTAAAGGAATACAAAAAATGTAGCATGAAATTCCAAATTAAAAATAGGAGCAGAAGGAAAAAGAAAAAGAGGACTGGATTATAAAATATAATCAGACCAATAGTTATAAATTATATATGCACAGGGCATAACTAGATACTTTGCTGCCATTTATTAAGGATGTATTCTTCATAAACCACTGAAATAAGCAGGGGACACTATGTAATTAAATCCTTGCAAGTTAGATATTTCGGCTAATTTGCGGATGATAACAGTGAGCCTTGGGGAGGGAGATCAAGGGCACTTTCTAAGGTCCCAGGGCCTCTAATGGTAGAGTCAGTTCCTTGACTATATGTCCCCCACCAGTCTTGCCTCCTCACTCCTTGAGACAGTCTGGCTCTGCAGCCTGAGTGTTCTTCCATGGTGACACTGGCACCATCTCCTCCTCCACACCTCTACTTAAATGTCACCGCCTGGGCAAGGACTTCCCTGACCCTCCATCTCTTCCCTCTCTGATAGCTTGTTAGCAGGGGGTCTGCTTTTCACCACGATTACGTGTTTTTTCAACTGTCTCCCTCACTGAGGCCAGAGATTGCATCTGTCTTGTTTGCTGCTGGACTGTCAGTACCTCAAACAAAGCCTGGCACATTCAGGCACTGAAACCTTACTGAATGAACTATCACCCATGATTCCCATCAGATCACCCTGCCTTCCCAGGACATCTCATGGAGGCCCTGACCTGGGCCTGAAGGGTCTGTCAGAGCTTCTTACCTCATCACATCTCTGCATGATAGAAAGGGGAAACTGAGGCCAGAGAAGGCCAGGAACTTGTCAGGGGCATCACAGTGGTTAGACACGTAGCTGGGGGAGAGAGGGTCCTGGTTCCAAGCCGAGGGCCAGACACCAGTGGGTGGCCCCAGCTGGTACAGGTTTAACTATGAAACAATAAAGTGAGACAGGAGAGCCCTGAAATGTGGCTGGTAGGAGGGGCTGCCCAGAACAATGTGGCCAGCCTTGGGAGGAGACAGAGAGGCCTGCTGGCCTGCCTGGGAAGGAATCCAGTAGGGGCCTTGCTCAGTTTCCTCCCAGCACAGGGGGAAGTAAACACATTCCTCGGCTGTGCCGGCATACCCCCCTCCCTGGCTCCAGCTGCCCCACCAGCTGCCAGGGCCTCAGGTCCCTGGCCAGTGGTCTGTTGCCCTAGGGAGGGGAGGGTCCAGAGAAGCTGCATGACTCACCCAGGGTCAGAGCAGTGTGTGGTGGCTGGTACCCTTTGCCAAGCTGCCTCCTGCCCCAGCGCATAATGGTGAGAAGGATATAGTGTCCCTCTCCCCACCCCAATCCTGTGTTGGGCTGTGCAGAAGCCCAGGGACAGCTGAGCTAGCTCCCAGCCAGGCTGAGCCTCTCTCTGCATCTGGTCCCCTCCACCAGCTGGGACAGTGAGGAGTGCACTGGGGACCCTTGACAGGGCAGGAATGGCCTATGTGAGCACCGGGGTTCTGCGTCCCTACTGTACAGATGGGCAAGGACTTGCTCCAGGCACCACAGCCAGATTGTGACTAAGCCAAGATCAGAATCCAGGTCTTGTGGACAATGGCGTCATGTCATTGAAACCATGAGGATGGCTGCCGCCTCCCAGCCCCTTCAGCCCCTACCCCACCCTCCCTTGTCCCTTCAGCTCTGTCTGGCCCTCTGCACGTGCTGATTCTTCTGCCCAGAATTCCCTCCTTGAACTCTCTTGACTGGGCACGCCCCTACCTGTACTTCAGAACCATTCTGTGCTTCCCTGCCAACCAGACCGCCGGCCTAGGGCAGGGTGGGCCCTGCAGCAGCAGCAGCAGCTGTCATCGGATGCCAGCGCCAGGGCTGCAGTCTCAGCAGCTGAGACTGCCTGGTTCTCGGAGGCAGCCAGGGATGATTCATGGGGAGCGGGAAGACGGGAAGGCTTGGGTGTCACCCTATGTAATAAATCTGAGTGTCATGGAAAAGGGCCTGGGATCCAGATTGGGAGATCTGGCCCTGGCCTGCTTCTGTCTTCAAGCCCTAGGACCTGGAGGGGGTTCTTCAACCCCTCGGGGAGACGTCATAGAAGGTCTGAGCCTGGGTCTGGAGTTGGAGCAACAGGGCAATCTTTATCTCTTCTGCCAGCTCCAATCGATCAACAGTAGCTGTAGGGCACTGTGGCGGGGATGATTCAGAGGAAGGGAGTTTGGGAGTAGACCCGCCATTTATTTCATGCTCCTGGGCTGGGATGTCTCTTAGGGCCCTCCCTCCCTAATGAACACACTCCTGTGGTCAGAATCAGCAGCTGTTCAGCTCTGGCAGAGCCTCAGGACAGGCAGCAGGGCTGGGTCACAGCACTCTGCTGGGCCTCCAGTCAACACACACACACACACACACACACACACAAACACACGAGATAGGGGCCCTTCTTAGGCAAAGGGCTCTGGCTGTGGGCTCCAGCCCTCTCCCTTCTGTTGGCCCCAGATAAACATTCCTTCCAGCTTTGCCTCCTGAGCTGCTGCTGGCTTATTCCGGTCAGATCAGCACAGAACAGACCTCAGCAGAGCATCAGGCTAAGCTGTTCCCTGCCTGCTGCGGGGAAGGACTGAGGGTGGTGGGGCTGGAGGAAGAGGGGAGGAGGGCTGGGAGGCTGAGGTCCAGTCCCTGGGCTGATAAGCAGCCTTGGACATTGCCCTGAGAAGGATTTCCTACTGTTGCTTCCTTCTTCCTCATACACGTGTCTCCAGTCCCTCCTCCAGCGCCCTAGCGTCTGGTCACTGTTAAGGACTCAGAGGC